TGAGATCCAACAGTTGATCTAAAAGGAGGTATCAGGTATCAGGGAGTTCAGTACATACACACAGAACCTTGAGAATTAACTAAACTTCACAAGTTCACATAGTCAACAGTTAGAAAATAATGTTGCTTTATACAAATACATGGACTGTGATTGACAGCTGTTCTTAAAGAGTATTACAAGAAAGGAATGTAGTAACATTGGAATCCATTATGCATTGACTGCAATAGTTGATTATCAAATATGCAAATGAGCTTTTGTGTATGCATGGTGTATCAAGTATGTGTTAGGCCTGAGCTGGATCGTACTCTGGGCAAGTGGGCATCATATAAATCTGCACCAAAGCCCATTTCTGGACAAGTGAGAAAACCATCACCCATCTATTGCGTTGGTCCTCATCTCCACAACAGCTCCAAGCAGTGAATAAATTCACCACATGAGTTGTAGCCATCAAAAGCAAGAAAATAACAGAAATCCAGTACTTGTAACTGTTTATAGACCATTTTCTTTTGTTTACAGAAGTACTTTCTTAAGTTATTTTCCCAGTAATATGACATTTTTCAACACAAACGTTGGCTGAATTTCAAAATCACATTGTTGACCTGTGATCAGGTTCATTTGAAGGGCAGTCTGGTACAAGAATCTAATTAAGAATTGTAGCTAGGGGCATCTTTAGTCTTTACCATGCTGTGCAATATAGTTAGCCTAGTTAGTTAGATGGATATTAACAAACTTTGATGCTTAGTTCATTATTTCTGTTTTAGGCTTAGTCTTTACCATGCTGTGCAATATTATTAAACATTGGCTAAGCGGTTCCTGGGTTAGTTTAATAATAGTTTTTGCAGTAGGAAACAGATTAAGAAGGAATTGACATGGCAAGACAATATTAGTTTACTATGATTTAATTCTTTGCAAAACAAGTAGTTTCACTCATGCATTCTTTGCTGAACAAGACAAGATAGCATTCGAGGGAACAGTGACCCAAGCCCGAACTAGGAAACGTAATAGGGGGTTACAAGCTGGGTGAGAGAGGGAGCTAGTCCCAAGTCTCGGCGTGGAGCGGTGCGGGCTGCTTGTGACGTTGCTCTCAGGCAGCTTGGGAGGGCGTGTGTCTACGTGAGCCTATCTCCGTGAGCTCGTGTGTCTCTCTTAAGAACGGCCCCGGTCTCCCCTTTTATAGTTGAAGGAGGGACAGGGGTGATACATGTGTTCGTCATAGGGTGAGCAGAGGTGACGTGCCGGAGTCCTGTAGCTTACTACTGTAGCAGCATGGTCAACGGAGTGGTCTTGTCCTTGATGTACTGGAGCAACGCGCCGGTCACACCTGATTTCGTATGACGTGGGCGCTCCAGTGACAGCTTGACGCAGGGTATGGCCGGCGGTGTGCTGGTTGCTATGGTTGACGGTGAAAAGAGCCGAGGCTCAGTCGGTGCCGAGGCCGAGCCATCGTGGGGGGCTCGGTGGGCGCGAATCCCGAGGCTGCCGAGACTTGGAAGTGGATTGCCGAGGCCTTGGAGGGAGCAGTTGGTCTCATGCACCGATTCCGAGGCTACAGTGACTTGTGCCTGCTTCCCCACGCCGTGCTGCTCCTGGAGCAGGAATTAGGTAGCACAGTGCAGTACGGGCGCCAGGCATGGGTGCAGTGCTGAGCACAGTGGCCAGCAACCCCTGTGTCGTCCTGTCTTACGTCCCGTCGGCCACCCTGCTGTACTGTGCCCACGTGCGGCTGACGTCGCGGGAGTGGTTGGACGCGTGACGTTTTGTCAGAGAAGTCGGTCGAGGCGGAGGCGACGAGGTTGTTGCCGAGCCCAGTCTCGGGCGAATCGGAGAATTGGCATCCTGTCCGAGGCCTCACTCGCGGGGCCTTGGGCGAATCGGAGAATTGGCATCCTGTCCGAGGCCTTCCGGGGCGGGGCTTCGGCGAGAGGGCCTCGGCGAGAGGGCCTCGGCGGGGCGCTTTGGCCTTTCATCTGAGGCCTCGGCGCAAGGCCTCGGGCGAATCGGAGAATCTGCCGAGACCTTGCGGTTGTTTTTTTACTTTGATTTTTGCGAGGCTTAAGCGATATTTTTGGTTCTTGCTTAGGATACCCCTTCTTGTGGTATCCGACAAGTAGACATTGATCGAGTGTATACTTAGGACAAATTCCTTTTATCACAGATTGTTGTCCAGACAGATGTAGCCTGTTCGTGCCCTCGACTCGCTATGTTACATGGATCAAGTGCTCTCCACGATCGTAAGACGAGAAGATCGGGCAAGCACCCGCACCACAATTAATGTATTTGAAGCTCTACACCATATAGATAAGTCACCCTGATTTTGTGTGCAGACTAAAGGTGAGCACTGAGCAATACCAATGAAAATCTCGGGTAACATCTCAGTACAAGGAAAAACAATATATAAATTTACACACACAAAACTATGGTTTCAGATACTTTACAGTTGAGGAACAAACACTGTCAAATTTCACTGGTTCCAACTTATTGCAGACAAGTTCAGTGATTTTTAGATGCTATAATAGGGCCAGGAAAGAAATAAATATGTGATACAGGGGATGTAAATAAAAAGTATAGGAGCAAATATTTAAAATATGGTACTTACAAGATTTCAATTGAATTTACTGAATGAACTAGTTTGTTTTTTTTTAAATGTCATCTAAAGTGTTCCCTGTTATTGAACTTTTGAAGTAGGGTGCAGATATTTAATTTCAGCCACAAAATAAACCTTGGGCACAGGCATACATTGCTGACTAAGGAATAGCATGTCAGTGACAGGCAACATAAAAAAGAAGAGGGCAGAGGAGAAAGGAAATTAAGTGCTTACGTGGGGCTCAAATTTGCGAGCTTTCTGACAAGGAGGGTTCCTCCGGTTGGAGATACGATGGGAGCCATGGCTTCTCCCCCTTTGGTCCAATGCGTGTAGGTGAGCTTGCCTTGGAAGAAGTTTTTCCATATCGCATCAGTTAGCTCAGTGCTGTTGATCTGGCCCACATTATATTTCTGCTTGGATACAGATGCAGAGAAGAGAAATGCATGGATAAGAAAACAGTTGTGAAGGAAAAAAATATTATAAAATGACGAGGTGAAACGAAGAAAAAATGTGATGTTGTGCTTGCGGTCTCGATCAATGGGTACAATCGACATCCTATCACTGAGCAGACGATATGAAATCAAAGTAGAAATGTAAGGGAATGAAGTCCATGTTATGCTACTATTCCTTAGTTGCGGCTGCTGCACGCACAACACGCCGTCATTTGATTGATGAATTGTCCTCTGAGCTAAAGTGTACATCAGTGTTCTGATCAAGGGCAAATGGATTGAACAGTGTGGTAGAATCGACGAGTGTACAGACACAAAGGTAGATAGGGGCAACTAATTACAGGGCAAGATGTGCTGCTACTAGGATGCTTGGATCTAGAGAGAGGGTGGAGTAGGATTTAAGTAGAAGAAACATGGGGATGGGGAATTGGGGATAGATGGATTCATGGATAGGTGCAGTACCTTCCACGAGAGGGAGATGGAGTACTCGAACTTGTGAGCGGCATAGCGGAACCAAGTCGACAGCGAAACCATCCTCCCCAACCCCTTCTCGTCGGCTGCCCAGCTCTTCCACGTCCTCCTCGAGGAGCGCACGCACTGATCCCCACCCCTCTGCTTGGGGAGCGGGCTCCTCCTGCTCGGTGGCGGCGGCCGCTGATGCTCCCCGCAGTCCGCAGTCAGAGGATGGAACGGGGGTTGACCCTAGCAGGGGGCGCTCTGGCGGCGGCGGAGGCGGTGGAATGGAAGGAAGCGGCGGCGGCCGCGTCGCGTCGCGCAGGAGGGGCGAGCTGGGATTTTTCCCTTCCGCACAGTCCGTGCACTGCAGCAGCACAGGGAAGTAGGCGGGCCTCTTTAACCTAACCAATTCATTGTGGGCTGGGCCTCTTGCATTCGGACTCAAGAAAAAAAGAACAAAGCTTTGGCCTGCGAAATTATCAAATTACTTAGAATATACTGTAATTTCTCCAAAAAAAAACTTAGAATATGCTGTAGCTTTGTGTTTTCTGACTCGAACAGCTAGTGTCTGTCAGTCACGTAAATTCTTGTACGACTTTGATAAAAAAAATCTTGTACGACTCCACAGAACACGTGATTCTGCTTTTCTTTGAGCAAGAAAACTAAAATAGGTAAATCGCCACGAGTCTATAACAACACAACTTGCTCATCCAGATTTTTGCATCTTTTATATCGACTTCCAAGATGCCAACGTCCTGCTAAAGCCTACATGCACAAAGAAGGTGTGCGTAACGATGGGGAAAATATTGTCAACACAAAAAAGATGCATGTCAACAAGGAAAGGAACACCATGAACTCGTTAAAGCGAAACCACAATCTCTGTTGAATACCATATATATTTCTCATGGTTACAACTATGTATATACAAAATAAAAATTGCACATTTTACACTGGCGGTTTGCCTAATCACTGCGTCAGACACAAAGCACCCACAGAGGGGGGAAAAGATCAGTCAAGGGCGATCGGCTGGGCTTATACGATCATATACGATCGTGGATTATAAGCTGGAATAATATTTTTCTCTCACACCAAACCAGCCAACAATAAATAATCCACGATCGTTTCAGCCGAAACGAACAGGCCAGGTGTGGTCCTGACACGCTGCATCATCATTGCGCCATCAGCCTGAGCCTTTTAATCAACATTCAACGACGATCATGACCCTGATCATGAATGGAAGATATATAAGCGATAACACAGCCATTCAAGTAAACATGTCACCCCTACACACACAGACATAGCCAACCAGACTCACCTTACCATAAACTGCTGAATGGAGAGTCCAAAGTTAATCTTGATGCATGTGGTGCTGTTATGAACGAATGCCAGTACTTTAATTACTATGTTCATCTACATATAACTATATTTACTCTTTTTTGAAGTCATGGATCCTCAGTTTTTTTCCTGGACTGACAGAGAGGCCATTTCAAATGAAAATTGTGCAAACTCATCTAAACCAAGTTTCCACAATTTTCACTCATGGGATTATTTTCAGTAATGGGGCTATTTCCACTTGCAGGTTTATCTTCACCAAGGTTGTCGGTGCCCCTGAAGACCCCAGAGTAGTACTTGAAGTGGTGTGCTAGCAATGACACAATGGTAATGAACTCGCAGCCATTACTGAGCTGCCTGGCATGGGACTCTTGGCTGCAATGATCCGCAGCATACAATGACATCTCCACCCACACCCCCAGGATCAGTTCCAAAGTGTCACGCTGATCTTGCCACTGCAACTCTATGCTCAGAAGTTCGTTGGCGAGCAAGATTGCATACATATTAGCATTGTCGCGGATGGAGTCCCCATGTGGATTTGGTGCCCTTACTGATCCCTGAGACAAAGAAGGACAATTACATAAAACTACTGCACCCTGAACTTTAGTATGTACTTTGTTAGAGTAAGGTCTATCTAAAAATAAAAAACAGAGATTGGCTTCTTTGAATTTCATTGTACGATAGTCAAACAAAGTCAAGAAATAAAATTCAGATGATCGCTATGCCTTTTCAGAGAGAGAGCAATATGAATAAAATTTCACTCGACGAAAATCAATTTGGAACTACCATTTTGGTGCAGCTCTGAATATAGGCATGTGCTGGTTCTGTTAGTAAAATCAGAAAGTATGAAAACAAAAAGTTGTTTAAGATGTTCTATATCTTCATACATATTTACCAACGAAATGTGTTTCAGTTGGATGGTCAGGGAAGCTATACCTGCAAATTGAGAGATGCAAACAGTTAAGTGAGGCACAATTTGGGCCATTGTTCCAAGAAAAAAGAAACAGATTTTCAAACAAATGAATGTACTTGAGGCCCACTCAGCCCATACCAGTGCAAATTGGGAGAAACTCCACGCCACCTCTGCAAGCTTCTCCCTCCGTGGGATCCTGGAGCAACTGGGGCCATCATGGTGGAACAATTCCTTAAGAATATAGTACGGGTTCCAGCTTACAGGGGACGGCGCCACTGGGTTGTCCTTATCACCAAATCGCATTCGGCACTGTCCTTCTAGTTGTTCGCAGGAGGTGAGATGTATGTTGTGCCGTGCAGCACCAGGCAGCATGTTGGGTTTCACCACCAACAAGAACATCAAGTAGTTGGATAGTACCTCAGTAGCCTCAAGGAGCTCTTTTGCATGTTTGGCCTTGGATTTCCTGATGTACACCTCGGTTGCAATGTGCCAAACAAGGATGCTCTCGTCAAAGTCAATGTTGACGCTCCAGCGAGCAAAGTCCTTGTAGGCCTCCATACGTTTCAGTATAAAGCTGCCTCTTGAGTTCAAATCAGTATCTTGGTGTTGCAGTGCTTGCTCTTTGCTTCGCAATGCTTCCAGAACCAATTTCTTGATATCTTGTATTGACAAAGACGAGTTTGCGTGCGGGAAAGTGCCTGAGAAGTGCATCTTGTTCCACCAGTCCTCGAGGCCCAATTTCATTGCTAGTCTGCTCCCTATCTCGTTGGTGTTGCGGGTGCACAGGTGGAACAAGTTGTACTGCCCAATGGAGCCCGACCAGAGTCTCCTACTTGCTGGATGGACACGCTGACCAAGGGAAGTGACAATGTGGAGAGGCCATTCCCATCCCCTGCCCCTGCGGTGCAGCAAAGAACATGTCCAGGTGGACAGTACAGCCCTGCACACTGATATGATTTCCAGGACCAAAGCCCCAACCAGTAAAACATAACTGATAGCCACATCCACTCTGCTGTACCGATTTCCACTGCTGTTGATGCTGAGCTGAAACAACAGGAATGTGGTGGCTGTGCCAAACAGCGAAATGAAATGGATGCAGAAGCCATACCATGTGTGGATCACTGCTGCCTTGGTGTACAGGAAGTCATACATCAGAGACAGCTCCATCTCGACCAATTTGTATAGATCCTCTCCCAGATAAGATATCACAGAACGTGGTTTAGATTGCGAGCGGACTGAGGGATTTGGTAGCATTATGATATCGGCGAAGACACCTTTGCAGATATCGAACTGGGAGTGGGCTCCAAGCAGCAAATCCTCTTCGCTAGTACCCAAAGCCAATAACTGATAAGGGTCAGTCTTAACCTTCCGGATGCTGATGCTGCTACGGATGCTGCTGATGTTGCCACACTTGAGAGCCCATATCCTCTCACCATACTTGAGAAGGCCGGCAACGAACATGGACATGGAGGCCAGCAAAAGCAGTGCCCCGCTGCTAGAGATGTACTCGTATATCACATAAGCAGCTCCCAGGACCTGCACAGCAAGAGTTTGCAGGTGGCGTAGCCAGAGCGCGTTGTCCTCAAGCGCATACGCTGTGATGTTGTCTGGGCCACCCAGGTGCAGCAGTAGAAAAGGCGCCCAGAATGCCACCAGCTGGTGCTCGTCGTCTGACCTACTGTCCACAGATAGGTGGCCCAGGGTGTATATCGCCGTGGAATCGGCCAGCAGGTATGCCGACCAGAGGAAGAACATCAGGGCGGTGGAGTTGCTATGCCGGCGGACTCCTCCGAAAACGAGGAGGAATACTTGTAACCCAAAGCTTACAAGGACCAGGATTTGTATCCCCCATTCATTCCACAGGTTCACTAGCTTTCCAGCCTCAATTACTTCGCTCCTCATCATGTCTACATACAGTAATAACATGGCAAAGAAACAACAATATTAGCAACTAGATGTTTGTACATGTGTTGTGTGCATGAAATGTATGCAAAGGACCGAATGGGTAACAGAATGGACCATGTATATGATCATAAGACAGTAATAATGGATGCTGATATCCGTTGCATGAGAAATGAGCTGAGAATATTAGCTCGAGGCATCATAATCTAACTGGCAATAATATAAAGAAGGGCAGGAATGGCAAAAAAAAAAAAGGGGAGAAGAAAAGAGACGGGCAAAGAACATAGGTGATTACTTGCGTGGGAGTTAAATTGGCGAACTTTCTGACAAGAAGGTTTCCTCCAGCTGCAGCTACGATGACGGCCATGGCTTCAACCTCCTTTGGTTCGACTTCGACACCTGAAGGCGAGCTTGCCGTGGAAGCAGTGGTTCCATATCGCATCAGTCAGCCCTCTACAGTTGATATGGCACCATTATTATACTTGTGCCCATGGAGACAGATGCAAAGCAGAGTATAAACGAAGAAGAGTTTCTTTTTCTCTCTCTTTAAAACAGTTGAATTACTCCACAGGAATGAAGCATGATGTGCAATGCTTTCCTATGGATTAGCACATGATGATGCAGGAAAAAAAGTAAAAGGTTGCAGGGAATGGATGCGTGCGCCCATTGAACTGCTAAAAAGTTAGTACTTGTGCCACCTGAATCGATCCAAGCATGAACAAATCACAGCAGTAAATCCATTTTGATGCACCAATTGGTCTACAATGTACACTGAGTAATTGAGTAAAGCAAGCAGAAGTTTGTGGCGTGACGCCATGTAAGTTGTCAGGTCATGTATACTCATCGATCAGTACGTACAAATCCACGATGACATTAATTAGCAATCCATTTCACCATGCATCCATGAAGCAACCAGAGGAATGGAATCTGTTAATCCAGGTCGGGTGGATGCTTACTTGTTGTTGTTGGGACGTTGGTTGGTCAGAGGAGGGATGCCGCTTCGGAAGGCGTCCCGGGTGATTGCCCTCGCGCGCGTCGGACGAGGGCGAGAGGGCTCGGTCGGTGGACGGCCTGGGCACCAGGCCTGATCTGCGGCGCCGCCACCGCCGATGCGGCACCGGCAGCGGACTGAGGAATGGGAGAGGGCCTGCCTGGGATGGTGGAAGGAAGTGGAGGCGGCGGGCGACAGGAGCAGGGGTGGCGGCGACGAAGCGAGGAAAAGGTGGGAGCCTGCGAGGTGGCAGCCGCACGCGCACAACGGGAACGCCCTTCTTTCTTCTTTTTTTCAACCAAATTATTATTATTATTATTATTATTATTATATCCCCTCAGTTTTCAATTTTTCATTAATCTATATACTGCAAAAACATTAAAGGCTGCTCCTGTACTTACTGTACTATTATTCGCCACGTGGTTGTCCCTCCGCCTAGCATTTTATCACCAAACTAGGACCTGGACCTCCTCCTTGGTTGGCAACCATGTCGTCATCTTCAGATCTTCAGCCTCTATGAATCATAGGATTATAGAAACGTAAGAAGTATATAAGAATAAATGTTACAGCATTATGAATGATGTGGACTGAGAAAGAGATAGAAAACAATAAAGGCTCCTTTACAAAGTGTGAATTTTACATGAATCAATTTATTTTCTCGGGAAAAAAAAGCAAGAAACATGAAATTTTTCTCCATTTCAAAGGGCTATGAGGTTAAATGTTTGGACGGAGCGTAAGGAAAATACAGGAATTCGATGAGAGTGAGTGAACAAAAAAAAAACTTTCCATGAGTTTCAACCTCTTAGTAGAATTATTCTTGAATTAAGTCACTTCATAGGACCTGTATGAACTCAGATCTTTTGTTCCAAAGGGGTTTATAGGAAGTTTTTCTATAGAATTTCAATCCTTTAGAATTCTTCTGTTTTTCCTTTGTTCGAAAGTAAACCTTACTTTTTTCATATGTGAGGCAAATTAGTTCACACCAAGAGATGTAAAATAATACAATGGTTTTAATTTGCCTTCATCAAAAGTAATCTCTTGTGTGGGAAAGAATACAATTCTAGCACGATACTGAGTCAAAACGTCTCAATTTTTTTTTAAAAAAATTATACAAAAACATAAGAAAGTATATAAGAATAAATGTTACAGCATCATGAATGATGTGGACTGAGAAAGAGATAGGAAATGTAACACCCAAAACTTTGCATCACTTTAAAATAGTTGAATTTGATTTATTAGCCTTGTGTGAGCATTTAACATAGGCAAAATAATTCTTTTTGTGAAATTAAAATTAGTCTTAGGTCTAAGAACATGTTGTTGCCTATATGCTGATGCATATTTGATTTATATTTGTCCGGTTTTTGTTGCTTGAGAAAAGGTTTTCAAATCCCTTTTGAAAAGCATTTAAACAATTCTGGAAAATAAAAAGGAAAAGGGAAAAGCTTTGCTAGTCACTGTTCTTGGCCGAGAGGCCGTTCTTTCTCCTTTCGCTGCTTTCAAATTGAAGAAATTTCATGAGCGCCAGCCACGGCCGCAGCCCACCTCCCTTCTCTCTCTGTCTCGCTGACGAACCGGGCCGCACGTCAGCGTCGCCTTCCTCCTCCTCCGGCTCGGTGTCGAACCGGACACCGACCGAGCGTCGATCCGTGCGTGGGCGTCCGCGCCACGCCCTGTCCCTATAAAGGCCGAACGACCGTGTCCACAATGCCCTTTGCAACCCTAAGCGACCCGCCGCCGCCGCTTTTGAGCATGAGAGCCGCCAAAAACCCTAGCCGCCATTGTCGAGCTCCGCCCGAGCTCGCAATTCGCCGTGGCCGCGCTCCTTCGCCCTGTAAGCTAGCAAGAAAGCTTCGCCTTGATCCCGTGAGTCTTCCCAGCCTTTTCCCGGTTCAATTTTGCTCATATCGTGTCACCGTGGTGTGCGCTTCAACGTCGTCCGCCTCATGAGCCCATCGTCGCCCACACGCTTGAATCCGACCCCATCTTCGAGCTAGGTGAGACCGCCGCTTCCCTCTTTCTTTTGGGACAAGTGCCGAGCCAAATGGTGGCCGGAACGTCCGAGATGTTTTTGCGGCGAGATTCCTCGCGCCGCGGCGATGTCATGCGCCGCCATGTTGTTGTTTCTTCTCCGGCATCAAGGCCACCACCTCCTCCTCGGACCTAATCCGAGCCGTCCATCTTGGATCGGACGGCCCGCAGAGGCCACCCCTTTGTGGGAAAAATTTGCTAAAGAGCCCTGAGCTCTTTAGATTTTGAAACCGCAGTCCAAAGCGTATTCAGAGAATACGCTTTCTTTTGAAAACGTATTTTTCATTTAGCGTATTCAAAATCAAGTTCCATATATTTACGTAATTGCCACCGATTTCAAATGCTTATAAAATGTTCATTTTAACTCCGATTTGATCCGTTCAACTTGCGTTGGATTCGTAATTTCGTAATCTACGTGTTGGTGTCTTTGTTAGCTCAGTTCTAGTTTTTAAATTTTGAGTTCATGTTTAGTACATTAATAGTCTATAGGAAAACTTGGAAAATCCATATCTTGCTCGTTTTAGATCCGATTTCGGTGAATTTCGCGTCTATGTGATCGTAGTGACGAGTAGAATGTTTTTATACACTTTTCAAACTATTTTCTTGCTGGTGGTGTATTGTTCTAATTATAGCCCTTTGTTTGCTTCGTGCATGATTGCTTGGATGATTGTATGTTGCTGCTTGGTGTTGTTGATCGAGTTCAGACGGTGAGGTTTACGTTGGTGATCAAGAGAACTTTTACGACCAGCAAGACCAGCAAGACTTTCAGGAGAACTTTGATCAAGGCAAGTATAGCTAAGGACCTTCCTTGTTGTCCTATTCATGATGCTCACTAAAATACATATGCATGTGTCTTCCTTACTACCTATGGTAGGATTTTCTAGCTTTTGAATACTCAATTACCTTGTCACCCTGGGAGGTTTGCATTGGGTGGTTCTATTGCTAGTGCAACAATCATGATCTTGAAACTCGATTAATGAATATTCTATAAACATAAACAAGATGACTTTTTAGCAACAGAAGGACTTGTCTTGTAACTGATTATCCGGGATTTAATGTACAACTATGAGGGCTATATGGCTCTGGCTCTAGTTGCTTGAGAAACCCTTTTCTAGCTGGTTAGAGGTCTGACGAGTTGGGTATAGGACAGCCTCTGTCCTGTTGAGCCTAGCTATGGAAGCGGCCTTTTATATTATTGGAAGGGGGTTCCTATATCTGATGACACTGCGGCCCTGGCCGGTTAGACGAGCTCTTGGGTGGCTTTATATGGTTTCCGGTGTTTTGGGAGTAATTAACCCACTCATTTGGGAAACATAACTCACAGTGAAAGTGTACACCTCTGCGCAGAGTTAACAAACTGGTATACTAGTCGTGCTCACGGATACGAGCGACCTTGGAACATTTACATTAAGGGATAATGACTTTTACTTGTTAAGATGATCATTTATGTTAATTGTTTAAGATATTGATTATTCATGTTCATTGATCATGTGTTATGGGATTATTGCTACCTAGATGTTAATAAATGCTAAACTTGATGATGACTTAAATGCTAACCGCTGTAAACTAGTGTCACCTATTTGAGCCTCATGAACCCTTAGTTATCTTATTAAGTACGACATGTACTTATGCCTTGCTTTATCTTTTATGTTGGAAAAATCCTGGATGGGTAACAGATCAAGATTGGATTGAAGATTATCGTGATGAGTATTAGGCTTGGTGTCCACCAGTTGACGTCCCTGTTGGAGCTTCCGCAAGAGAGTTATCTTAGCAGCTATTATATCTATGTTTGAGACTATGTGTTGAATATTTATTCGCTATGTAATAAATATTGTGTTGGTACAATTCACAATTTGTCCACTTATGTGTGCGACCGTTCTAGGGGTGCGCATAAGACTTTTATACATCCTCTTTTGTTCTTAAAATTGGGTGTGACAGATTGGTATCAGAGCCCTGTTGACCGTAGGACGTAAGCCTAGTT